TTTGTTACCCAGCGGTCATCACAGAAATGAGTGAAAGGCACTACTGGCTGAGTGACCCTTCAGAGTTGTCACTCAGTGGGAAGTGACAGAGTTCCCCTGTTGACAGCCACTTCCAGGATTTTTTTTTAACCTGTGCTTGTAGTCCTCTCTGGCTGCAGATAGGGTTCAGTGGTAAAAATTTGCACCATTTTTTCCAAGCTAACTGAAGTTCTACCTGTCCTGTTTATTTGGTGTAGGGTTCAGTACAGATACAGGTGGTATAAAGTTACCAAACCCCAGTTTTATGCTGTTATCAAATCTGGTTTTATTATGTGACTTGCTTCCAGGAAGTGTAACTAGTTTTACAGATTTGTCCCTTTCTGTAGCAAGAGACCGTATCATGTAAGACCTTTCGTAAGTGGCAGCAGCTGCATACCCTTTCATGGCATTCTTAGGCCTGAAAGTGAAGGGCTGTTACATAGAGCTTGACCTTGTAGTGACCACATCTGTCACAATGTGCCTTCCCACTTGCCCTTATCAATCAGTCTTTTGTCTTCAAGTTTGAAAGGTTTACATTTTGAGGGATGAGAGTTTAAATTTCTTTTATGGTAGAATTGATTGATGTAGATGCCCTGTTAGAACATGGTCCTTAATGGGGCTTCTAAGCCATTCCAGATACAGAACAGAGTGCATTCAGCTTTCTGATGTGGATCCTATTTGCAGCTGAGGAGGTACCAGACTGGTTAATTTGGGCCATGGCAAACAAAGAATTAATACTTATTGTGGATTATAGGAAAGTTAGGTCTGTGGAAGACAATCTCTTTGTTGTCAAAGGAGAGAGAATCAATGCAGGGAGTCCACAAAATGCAATAAAAAAGGTCTCTGAGAATATACGTTATTTCTTCTGTTTGGGATGCCAGTACCTCATTTTGATTTGTTGCAGGGCATTTGCAGGTCCCACTCTGGGAGGATTTCTAAATGAAAAGCTGGGTTTTGAATGGGCCGCAGCCATCCAAGGAGGATGGGCACTCTTAAGTGTAAGTAATTACACATTTTTTGCTTTTTATATCTATTGCAATTATGAGCTATTGCATAAGGTTACTATTATTACAATTGTAACTGTTTCCTCAAAGGGTCTTGCAACTGGAATATTCTATATCACTGAGGCAACAAGGAGAAGGTATGCTGAGATATTTATTCTTTATTTTGCTTGCAGCCGTATAGAGCAAACCTTTGAAAGCTGTGCTTCCATTTTTTCCTCATTACCAACCTGATAATGATAAGATGAGCAGTAAAAATACTGCTTAAATACTTTGTCTGTATGCTTTCCTGAATCACTACTGACCTAAACAGAGACCTAAACCAGCAATACCTGTACTATACAAGTAACTGGCCTGTGGCATTAATGAGCAAATGCTACTGTGAGCTGGAATTGGCTGGATGGCTGCATCCAGAGAGTAGTAGTCAACGGCTCAATGTCTGGATGGAGATCAGTGACAAGTAGTGTCCCTCAGGGGTCTGGACTGGGACTAGTACTGTTTAGTATCTTCACCAGTAACGTGGACAGTTAAGATTGAGTGCACCCTCAGCAAGTTTGCAGATGACACCAAGTGGTCAACATACCTGAGGGACGGGATGCCATCCAGAGGGACCTGGACAAGCTTGAGAAGTGGGCCAAGGTGAACCTCATGAGGTTCAACAAGGCCCAGTGCAAGATCCTGCACCTGGGTCAGGGCAATCCCTGGTATCAATACAGGCTGGGGGATGAAGGCATTGAGAGCAGCCGGCTGAGTATGAGCCGGCAGTGTGCGCTCGCAGCCCAAAAAGCCAACCGTATCCTGGGCTGCATCAAAACAAGCGCAGCCAGCAGGTCGAGGGAGGTGATTCTCCCCCTCTGCTCTGGTGAGACCCCACCTGCAGTGCTGCGTCCAGCTCTGGGGCCCCCAGCACAAGAAAGACGTGGACCTGTTGGAGCGAGTCCACAAAGGTGAACAGAGGGATGGAGCACCTCTCCTATGAGGACAGGCTAAGAGAGTTGGGGTTGTTCAGCCTAGAGAAGAGAAGGCTCTGAGAATACCTTATTGCAGTCTTTCAGTACTTAAAGGGGGCCTATAAGAAAGATGAGGACAGACTTTTTAGCAAGGCCTGTTGCGATAGGACAAGGACTAATGGTTTTAAGCTAAAAGAGGGTAGATTTAAGCTAGATATGGGACAGAAATTATTTACCATGAGGGTGATGAAACACTGGAACAGGCTGCCCAGAGAGGTGGTAGAAGCCCCATTCCTGGAAACTTTCAAGGTCAGGTTGGATGGGGCTCTTAGCAAAGTGATCTAGCTAAAGATGTCCCTGCTTACTGCAGGGGGGTTGGACTAGATGGCCTTTAAAGGACCTTTCCAACCTGAACCATTCTGTGAAATGATAGGTGTGAAAGCAATAGTACGTGATTCTGTGCAATAGTGGGGAACAAAATCCACTGGTCCGTGTAGCTCTTTCCACGTAATGTGTGGAGGTTTTGCTATAATGTTGGTATTGCATAAAAGTGTCTAGAGAATATTAAACCTGTTTCTTCCCTCCTGTTCTTTTCCTTGTGCAAACAGTTCCAGTTCCAGCCTGCAAAATCCTGATGGCAGTAGTGAAGAAAGAACTCATCTGATGGGCAGTGAAACATAGCCAGACACACTTTCAATTCTCTTTTTACTATTGTGGTTTAACCTAGTGTGGAGATGAGTGGACTTAACAGCATTTCATTATTCTGGAGCTGGGATACATGATCCCTTAGGGCACAAGCAATTGTGGTTTAGTTACAGCTGCATTAGTGTTTTGAAACACTAAACACTGACTGCCTTTCTTTTGGAAGTCCTCGTGTGGATTGGCCGAAGTGGTCGAAGTGGTGGGTAACTGTCAGATGTCAGCCTGTTAATTGTGTTCCATATACAGTGCACCACTGTGTGTGAAGAGGGGTATTTTCAAATACTGGTTTCTATACTTGAGAAATGTGCATTATTCTTGGGTAAAGCTACTATTTTGCTACCATGATTTTCTGTATTTTTTTAAAAAAAGTTCATTATCTTGTAATACTTTAATTGATAAAATGTTGAAACAGAATTTGAAATGACAAAGCATTAAGCACAACATTGTTTTCAATAAAGCAACTTTTTTCCTAAGTTTCTAGGCAACAGGAGAAATCTTTCTGTCTACCAGCACTTGTGTTAATCTTGAAAGTGCCTGAAAATGGGAGGCAAAGGTAACGAAGAGAAAACTTAGCATCTCCACACAGAACTAACTGATCTTCAGTCCTGGAGGAGACTTGTGTGTGTATGCATACGTACACAGACATATGTATGTTTGTATTGTGTATGAAGACTCAGCTTGGTGTGTGTGAGATCTGTTTTACTAATAAATGCCAGCTGGAATGTTTGTACTAATTGCCTCTGCAACAGTGACTCTATCAGAAGTCTAGGGATACTATTTTCCAACAATAGGAAAAAAAAAAATCTCCTAACCTTCTCCAGATACTTGGCAAAGAAAGGCAAGGGAGCTGAGACAAGGGCATGCCTGGCAAACTCACACTAGACTTCTTGACCTTGGTTGTGGCAAAAAGTCTTTTAAGTTGTCCTTGAGCCCAGAACTAGGTCCTAGAAGGGGTTCTCTGTGGTACCCATTTTTCCTCAAATAAGAACAATGGTCTAATCCTAGCCCTTTTTTATCAGTTTCTCTTTCAACTACTGGAATTTACATGAGAAATACTTCTTTCTCTGCCAGAGCCCTCTTTGGGGCACTAGCAAGAAAAACTGCTCTGGTAGCCAGCTGAACTGTGAAGCATCAGGGCACTAAAGGGCAGGCTGCCCCTGGCAATAGCCCCTTTCCTTTTGTATCAGGTGTTAGACTTTACTGAAACCAGGAACGTACACCTCAACCTGTTATAAAGTGCTGACCCTGCCAGTGCCCACGGTGAGGCAGGTGAGAAGGAGCCGGGAGGCAGACACAAGGTGCACAAGATACAGATCTGTAGACATGAGACTTCATTAGCTGTCTTTGTGGAATGACTTGTTCACTGACCTGACTTGCACTATTAGGACTTGGAAGTGGCCGGGATTACCAGAAGGAGCACAAATGTCATTGAAATTAATGAGTTGTCCTGTAATGCATGAACTTTACCAGAACTCCAGTAGAAACTAGACAGGCTTAAACTAACCCCTCTAGTTTTCTGGCAAGACATCTCCCCTTTTCATTCTTTCACATACACAATGGAGGTGAAAGAAAGCTGAAGAGGAATCCTGGTTTCCAGGTTTGTTGTTCAAATCAACTCACAAGTATGTTCTCCTGCCATGATTATCCAAGGGTCCTGGACGCATGGTTAAAGCAGAGCAGTGGGATCTCCTACGGGACATTCAGCAACCTCCTGGCTGGTGCTGTGCTTGTCTCATGAGGTGGCAAATCTAAACACCCAACTGCCGTTACTAACACAGTTGTACCATCTGTGAAGCTGTGATAAGGGGGGACTGTGCCAGGTGTAGCCAAACTACACAAGGCTAGATTGGAGCACCCCTGAGCTGGGGCAAGACAGGCAGTGCCCGTGCAGCAGCACTGAGCTTGAGGCCAGCTGCCTGCCTCCTGTAGCCCTGCCTGCACCCCATGCCCTCGAGTTTGGGCAGTGTCACTGCTAGTCTTTTCTGAGATTTCCCAAACTCTGGCTTGCTTTCCTGCTGTGACCAGGGCTTGTCTTGAGCTGTATTACCACAGCAATGCCACGCCTGTATCGTTTGTAAATCTGTTTCTTCAGCTGCAGCACAGTGGTGACTTCTCTGTGACTTCTTGGTCAGTGGTGTAAGGCAGAATCGCTCAATGCTGGCGGCTCTCCAGCCTTTGATGTTGTGAAACTTCCAGGGCAGGGTGATTGAAGGCTTTCTGCCACTCTGGGGAATTCCCAGGTTTTGTGTAAGACTTTCCCTTTTAAAGACCCCCTCCGTCATCCTTGCTTGCCCCTGGCTTCCTCTTGGGTGACTTCCAGGCTCCAGACATGGGGCTTCCTAAAGCTCGTGCCTCTGCTGTGCTTTTGGTGCTGTCTGCTCTGGAGGCCTGTGCCCTGGACAGCTACATCACAGCCATCTACAAGCACAGTGTGGTCTTGTCAGAGGACACTGAAGTGCTGGTTTCTCCTGAAGAGGCCTTGATGTTGATGGACAAAAATACGGCAGTTTTAGAAGTGGCCATCAAAGAAGCAGACAGACAGATATTATGACACAGTTAGAGCCATTAATTTTGGTAAACACTGACCATTTATTCATTTTCTTAACGGTGCATTTTACGTTTGTATGTTGGTACCAGGGTAGCCTTATCATTGTGACTCCAGAAGATGGCATTTATAGCTGGGTCTTCACAAGGGAAACAATATACCCTTATCTTGAGGGTATCCCAGACCCACAGGTGGACTGGATTCCATGCGCTTATCCTGGAAGGTATTTTCCTGCTGTGCATGGGAAAGACAGCTACCTTTGGGAGTGGTTGTTGATAGTTTTAAATGTCTTGGAATGACCGCTGTGAAATGGAGGCAGGTTAGACATCATGTAGTTGCCATAAACAGCTTCAGGCAACTTCCTTTGACATTTTCCTCTGTTGTTTTTTCTTGCTGTAATTAATTTCATTTTAGTTAGTATACTCATAAAGGTTGAGATTCATTTAAAAGAAAGACAAAAACTTACAGAATCTACATTTTAGTAATGTATTCCATGCATGTTGAGAAAATGTTTAAGATACAGGAATATTTGGAATATTTGTGAATAAAATAAGAGCTACTACTGAAAGGATATACTGCACAATTTCAAATTTATATTTTTGAATCATGATGTAATAGCCTTTTTTTCTGTTATCTTCCTTCACAAACTGCACCATTTTTTGAAGCTGCAGTATTTAGTGAAAGATAACAAAATGCACCATAGAAGAAACAAATCTTAAGATACCTCAGCACAGCAACCAAATTGAGAGCCGAAGCAGAATGGCTGAGATTAGCCCATGTGTTGGTGTAACATCATTGCTATGCCACACTCCAGCAGCAGAAGGAGACTTGCAGGTGCAAAGATTCTCTTTCACTGCAATGAAACCTCTGTGTTCCTCACTTAGTTAATATGAGGTAAAGCCAGCGTTTCAGCACACGAAGCTTTGAAGCACAAAACCACTGCCTTCTGTTGAATAACAGAAAACGACGGTTTCATATTAGATATGGCTAACTTAAACCTGTCATTCTTATGATCTGTAGTCTTAGTGTTGGCATTTTTATGGATTGACTGGTTTAGGTGTTTTATTTCCTTTCTTCCTTCCCTGCTGTTTAGGTTTGCTCCCTCACCCATGCTGGAAAGACAGCTGTCTGGCAAGGAATAACTCCATCTATGTGGTTGCAAATAGGGGAGACAAGAAGCCGTGTAATTCCAGTGATCCAAGGTGCCCAAGTGATGGTCACTATCAGTACAATACTTTGACTCAGAAGGGAAACTGGTGGCTCGTTATCACAAGATAAGAGGATTTCACAGTGTTCAGGGAGTGCGCAGTCTTCAGGTGATTAGAGATGTGAAACAGAAGCTGCTTCCCAGGCTTAAATGTGTTTGTACAGAGTCATTACAGAGCAGGTGTCAGAGGGCA